CCAAAAAAAAATTAAAAAAAAATAAAAAAAAAAAAAAAAACAAAAAAATAGAAACCGAAAGAAATAAAACCAAAATAAAAAATAAAACCAAAAAAAAAAACAAAATGAAGAAAAAAAAAAGCAAAAATTAAAAAAAGAAAGAGAAACAAAGAAAAACGAAGAAAAAAAATAAAACCTCAAAAAGGGAAAAAAACAAAAAAAACAACCAAAAACAACAACAAAAAAAAAAAAACAGCCCCAAAACTGACCAAAAAAATTAAAAAAAATTAAAACCAATACCAAAAAAATAAAAAACCGAGAAAAAAACTGGAAAAGGGCAAAAAAAAAATCATGAAAAAAAAAAAAAACCCAAAAAGGAAGAAAATTTAAAAAAAAAAAGGGAATTTCTATTTCAGCCCCACCCCCACCGGGTCTATTTTTGACACCTTGGCCCCGCCCACCTGCCCCAATCCACGCCCCCTTGCATTGACCACGCCCATTTATTGGCCACGCCCCCTCCGACCCTTTGATGTGGCCCCGCCCCTTTGTCCTTAAATGGTCGTTTATGGCCCCGCCCCTTCCCCGTCCTCGTGGCCACGCCCCTTTAACCTCAAGCGGCCACGCCCCTTCCCTTAGCCCCGCCCCCTGTTTGTTGTTGTGGGGTTTTGGTTTTTTGGGGGGTTTCGGTCCCGATTTCGTTCAGGGTTTTTGTTTTTTCGGGATTTCCTTTTTTCTTTTTTTTTCGGTCCAACTTTCGTCGTTTTGGGTTCGTTTCGTTTCGTTTTCCCGTTTTTCCGCCTTTTCCGGCCGCTCCTCCGTCGGACGCGGGAACAATAAAAACAAAAAATGTCTGTACTGAGCTTCCCGTCCTCCCCCCGCGTCTGGCCGCTCAATGGGACCGTCCGGGCGCCCCCGCTGCTCCCTTGGTACGGCCCAGACCCCCCCAAACCCCTTTGGAACAGCCCAAACCCCCCCAAACCCCTTTGGAACAGCCCAAACCCCCCCAAAAACCCCTTTGGAACAGCCCAACCCCCCCAAAAACCCCTTTGGAACAGCCCAAACCCCCCAAAAACCCCTTTGGAACAGCCCAACCCCCC